CCTGTGTTCCTCACTGTTGAGTCAAGAAATAGGTAGCCTTGGATAGAGAGAAGGGAGGAAGAACAGGAGAGATCTCGAGATTAATTTTACCTGTCCTCCTCAAATTCCTTTGTGAACATCTTCAGTGAGTTATGCTGTTGGATGAAACCCACTGGCCAATTAACTTCCTAGTTTTGCTCTGATTTGCAGAAGCCTCTTTCAGAGTCTCCTGAGGCCAGGGCATTGGGCTATTGTGTATCCACTATCAATTGTCTATATTTAGAGTCTGCATATAGTCTTCTGGTGAAATAGCCTCTTTACATTTCCCATTTCTGAAGTGTCACATATTTATTTTTTTTTTGCTGGAAGACAGAGGAACATAATAATATTTCTTGCTTTCCCGACCTGAAAATATTAATGGGATGATATGAATAATACTTGTAAAAATATTGTGTCATGCCATGCTTCAGAAAAACCTTAACCAGTATCAGCTGTATTAAAGGTCATTTCCATTTATTTAGGATGTGATCATGCCTATTTTTTTTTATTTAAAGAAATGGGGTGGATGTTCATTAACTTGAGACACTAAACAAATGTCCTGAAATGGGAAAAAATATTTAAATCCAAAGCATAGTTGAATTTGTCTTTAAAACTAATTTTCCAAGCAGCTGAAAAAAGTTTGGTATCATATTCAGATGAAAAACATGTCAAATCAGATGTTTATTTACTTCATAATCTCTGATATAGATGCCGGTCTGTTTAAGTCTCTCATTGTTTATATTGTTTCTGGTTTCCCCTAGTTGTTTGCTCCTCCATCCTTCTGACTTCATCTCTTAGTAGACCTTTCAAAATCATGCAATTGTTTTAAAGTGTTATACTGCAGGCATAAAATAATGTGTATTATATAATCATGACTCTGTTCTCTCAACTCATGGACTCACAAACATATAAACCCAGTCTACAAATGTGGACAAGAATGGCTTTCTCGGTTTTATTAGCCCATAACTGAAACACAGCATTTACTTCCATAGTCAGTGCAGAGGACAAGTCAGAAGGTATTAAGTGCTCAGAACTTTGTCACACATAGAAAACCTTGAGATTCCAGGTATATAGACATATTTACCTGCCTTGGATTTCTACCTAACATATTGTTGTCTAGTTTACAAACCACTATATATTTGTAATATATTTGACTTAAGAATAAGAAGAATCATTCCTGTGACCTTCCAATGAGAATGAATTGTGCAGAAAAAAATTAAAGGGAATGCCCTTGACATATAATTCTAATGAATAAAGTATCAAGTGTCAAATTAAATATAAAACATTTAATATTTTAAGTTAGAACAAATCCTAAAATCCTCAAACACGAAGGTCAGCCACTGTGTGAACAAATACCTTCCCTCTCTGTAGAACAGCCAAGCTTCTGCAAATAGTTGGAGCTGAAGGTAAGCTCACGAAAAGGAGAAAATATAATGACTCCTTTTTAGCTTCACAAGGTGATCATTTTTATGAGAATCCTCTTTCACTTTATAGCATACTGGGTGCTTCCTCCACAACCTGGCTCCAGGACTACTGACTGATGTTACGTAGGCTTTGGAGTGAAGAGCTGAGGCCAACAGTATGAATGGCTGTGACATACAGCAAGCCTGTGTGTGGCTGCAGTTCTCCTCCTGGGGTTTTGGTCCCTCCCTCTTCTTATTGCCATGTGGAGCCTGCACTGGGCTATGTCACCTCTCAAGAACTTGCCCCAAACCTTTTAGACACTTGCCAAGATAAAATAGTACACTGGAACCCTTATATTTCTTCATCCTATTTGTCTCTATTACTTTATTATTTTCAAGCAAATTTCAGATAAATATGGATGGCCTTTTACCTTCAGCATTTTAACTTTCAATTTTTGTTTTATGATGGCAAGAAAGGCATGAAGATTTCATAGAGAATATACTTTGAATTTTGGTCTTTTCCTGAGCTGGCAAACTATAAGATTCTTTGGAGTGCCAATTAGTCAGATTAACAAACTATTCTACAGGTATTGTGTCACTGAGTTCAGTAGGTTAGGTGTATTAAATGCATTTTAAACTGATAAGAGTTTTCAATTTACTCTGGATTTATAAAGAAAGAAGCAATCACAATTAAAGGGGCATTTCATATAATTTCATGTTTAAATATTTGAGCTATGTTATTTTCTATCATGTAATCATCTTCCTAATAACAATTTGGCATCATTAAGTAGCCCCTGTTGTCACTCATACTGCTTCTTATAGACTTCAACTTTAAGCAAAGCCATTGTTAAATCATGAACCCCAAAGGCATTGAAATATTCCATGAGTCTCTCAAGTCTATTTTGTTAGTATTCCTGTTCTGCCCATCCTTGGTTTTCCTCTGCAAATCTTTGTAATCTGTTTATTGAAAATCTAAACTATTTGTTTTGCAATTTTCCACAGTCTGGATTTTGTGTTTGCTTGCTTCCCCATTGTGTCTCCAAAGGACTTCTGACTTTATGTTTGCTGAAAAATTGATATCTAGCTAAAGACAAAATGGATTTTGTTTCTCTTTCTTTTTTCCTGTTTTTCAGTTATGCTATCGTACAGTAACTAATAGATTCTTTCACCAGGGGACACAGGATGACCTTTTCTTCTGTAGTGACAGCAGCAGTTATTGACCTTTTCTGGATCCAGAACAGCATGCACATTTTAGATTATAGATGCACTACTATTCCGTTTTCATTCATTAGCCATAATGAGTCCATAAAAGAAGCTTTCTTCCTTATCTGTCCATTCATCATTTCTTGTTTCAGTTATTAGTGCTTAAGCTGAAAATCTCAATCTATTAGTGGTAGAGTTCATGAAAGAAAGGTAGGCCTGGCGCTCTCTTCACTTTTCATACTGTGAGCTGAAAAATGGAATTTTTAGAAGGGAGCACACAGTCTAAAATGCTATTCTTCATTCGTGGACTTAAACATTTAATGCTGTGTAGCTTGTGTTTCAACTGCAGCTCAGATTATTACTCAGCAGGATGTCTCCAAATGTGTGTCTGAATCACTAACCCAGGCCTTGGTACAAGGGAGCTCTCCTGTACCAGGTGAATCAAGATGTTGACAGCAATTTATTACTTCTTTGTCTCTGGGGACTCTCACATGTTCCATTAAGTGAGAAATGACATTGAGTGATGGAAATCTTGGCTCTCAGACTGCTTGTTTAAGATTGCTGGTTTCATTTTGTTTTTGAGGAATCTTCAATATACACAAATTGAATCAAAAGTTTTTGTAGTTCAGACTGATACAAATATTTCATAAACTATCTGAAGTCATGATATCTGGGGTTAAATTTTATTTGACGGGTTCACTTAACTTTATCTCATTTCTTTTCCTTCTATGAGCCTCAGTTCTTGTTAGCATCAGGAATGACAGAACTAGATTATTAAATAAATGTTTATTTACCTTGTCCAATAATATATGATCAATGCTGTTATGATAGCAATATCAACATTACCACTTATAACGTAATTTCTGAAGAAAGTTTTAGGTTTACTTTCCTTCATTATTTGTCTTGATACTGATCTCGCCTTTAGGTAATTTTTGTCATCCATTTTCCCAGAGGTGTGTGGTAAATTTATTTCTTGCTGTTATTTGGTACAAATATTCTCTATGAAGTAGATATATTATTAACTGAAATATATAATTTCATCTCATGAACTAGCTAGAATATTTAAAATTATATGTTAAATAAATATTTTAAATATATAGCATAATTTAGTGGTTCAATCTTTAATTTTATACTTCTTGATATTTCCTGTTTCCTCTTACATGAGTGCTGTTGAATATCTTCCATTTTAATTAATTAATTAATATTTTGTGTATGAGTGTTTTGCCGCATGTGTGTTTGTATGTCACATGTATGCCTGGTGTCTGCAGAGGGCAGAAAATTCATTGGATCTGATAGAAAAGGCAGTACCATGAATGTGCTGGGAATCAAACCCACGTCTCATCTAAGAGCATTAAGTATTCTTAATGACTGAGCAATCGTTCTAGTCCTTAATTTATGATTTTATTGTATAATTTGTATTTGGTCCATTTGTTGTCACTTCTAAATTGTCTCATTTCTAACAGTATCCGTACAAAAAAGCAGGAGTTTATCTGTCCACCTGAGAAGACTGATAGTTTATCACTTTATTTTCAGTTTCAGAGAATGGCACTGAGTCTCATATGCCAGGAGTTTGCTCTGCCATATGCCATATCTTAATCCCCTGAAGACAATCATATCTTAATACACATGATATCTCCATTTTCATGAATGGATATGATTGTTTTGAATAATATTTTATCAGTTGTGGTACAAGGGAACTCATGCCACTATAATGGGAAAAACACAACAAGAGGAACAGATACTGAGGATGGGAAATGAATTGTGTATAGAATGATGGTTTAACAGCATTAAGAGTAGTTCAATGATCTTTAATCATTAATTAAGGGAGGACAGCAAGGAATATATTCTATCTCCATTATAACTGATAGGAGCTTAGAAAACACTTCCATTTGATCATGTAATCTTATATCCATTTTAGAGAGAAATAAGCAGAGAATTAGGAAGATTTTGTGTGAGACACATGTCCAGAAAAGAGAAAAGGTTCGATTTAAATGCATGTGTTCTGAAAGAAATTTTGAGTGTTTTGTTGCTGCTTCTCACTGTGAGCGATGAATTGATCACATTTTATGAAGCCCCGAATTAAAAAATAACAACCCCATCACATGCACATTGCCCTTTACCTGCCATAAGCAATAAGGTCTTAAAGAAATTAATTTTTTAATTTATATGTAAGAAGATCTTCCTTAGGAAGCACAGTAAGATATTTCAGTCCTCTATCACAGACCTGATGCTTCCAAAGCGTTTACCTCTCAAATAATCAATTAACTCACTTGTTGGCCAGCACACTCAAGTTTTCCATGATGTTTTAAGTGTGGAACCCCGTTACAGAAGCTGGAATGAAATAAGTAGACAGGGTAATTTTCCTACTCCACCTACCTCTGTTTCCCCTTGTGCTCTACAGACCCAGCTGAGAGTCTGTCCAGGGGAGACCCAAAGCCAGGAAAGCTCCTCTTCTTCTTGGTCTCGAATACATCGTTTTCCAATGACACCAGCTCATCAAGAAGCAGGAGCTTAGCTGCAAGGTCGGTGGCTGATTTCTCTTCCTTGCCGGTGGGTGGTGACTGCAAGCCTGCTGCTCCAAACTCAGAGGCCTACAGGGCAGAGAAAGGCAGACTCATTCAGTTAGACAGTGAAAAACAAGTATTCCAAAACTGGCATTAGGCATTTCATGTCACTCGAAGAAATACCCAGTGTTCATTTTATGATGTCCTGGGGTTATGTTTTAGCAAGAAAACTAGACTTTGGGGGACTGGGACATGTAGAGATGGAATATACCCAAGAGAAAATAACAAAACAACCCCTAGACTTCCTTCCAAAATTTGACATTATTTACCCATTAGCCTTTTAGATTTAGCCCCAGAAACATCAGCATCCTTCCCTGTCCACCATGACAACTTCCCCTGTATCGCTTTCATTATTGCATTCATCATGTTTTACTTTAAATAATATAGGTTACAACAAATTTCTATTTCTTATTAAGTATAAGTAACTTGAGAGCACGGCTTAAGTCTTTATTTTATTCAATGCCTATCCCACTATTTTTCTCATAACAAAAATCTAAAATGTTTTTCTGAAAACAAAAATCTAGAAGTCATGTTTTTATACTTCCATGTTTCGTGTGTTATCTATGTAAGCTATGTATTCCACATTATCCATTAGGTTAAAGGGATGCAAAATAAAATAACCATAATCCTATTTATTTGCCAAAAGGAAATTAACTTCTCAGTCTATGTTATTTATTAAAAATTATAAGCAATGTGCAGAGATACCCCAATAATAATAATCCTGTTATAGGCACATTTTCTTATTTATTTATCTTCTATGTACAGTTTCTCTTTGTACTTCATGCAAGACACAAATGGATGAATGTTTTGTGTGGAAAATCCCTTTTCCTTTCTGAAGCTTAGCAACAGAATTTTAGAAACTGCTCTTGTTAAACCCCAGACTCCTCTCTAATCAAGGAATAGGAATCTGTTCGAGGTGTCTAAGATGACTCTCCAGTATTTCTTCCCTTCTTCCCTTTAGTCACATGCTTCCATGTATTGCAAGGTGGATCACAATACAGAGATGAGGAGAGGAAGGATGCTAAATCCAAATACAGAAACCCCCAACAGTGGGAGAAATAACTTCAAAGGATGATGATCTTTGATTATTGACCAAAGTGAGACAGATTTGGGAGTCCTATTTCTGTGGGGTGCTAATCTAGGTAGTGAGCAAAATTATTGTGCTGCTAACACCTAACATTTCTATTAATGTCAATAATTTCTTATTTTAGATACCTTTGTGATGCTTATTTCCCTATGAATTATCCAAAATAATAGGGGGATGGAGAGACTCAACTCCTTAATTGACAACTGATAAACTTTACCTTGGCTGCCTTGAAGAAAAGGCAAATGTCAAAAGGCCATCTAGACTACCTGTATGCTAGTACTTAACAACTGATAGTACAGAGGTTATTGGAAGAAGCTGTATAACCATGGGAGCTGCTTACTGCTGAGGCATGATGCTGGCTCCTGAAGATGTGGTACTAATCAGCTGGGCTGACATTTCCCTGCAATTATCTCTATCCAGGTCAGAGGAGTGGCCTAGCAGAAGGACTGTTGTGGTTGATTTAAAACTAGAAATGCTATGATTGGTGTAAGCATAAAGATTTTTCTGTAAATGGTTTGTATTTCTGGCGGTTCACGCAGGTAGTACAGCTCATTGCTCTTATTAGGTAAGCTAGCTGATAGACATCATCCTGTTGTGGATATTTCTCTACCCATAGCAACATTAGGCCCAGTGCAAAGTTTTTTCACTCCAATAGCATTTCCTGCTTTGTTTTGTTGTTATATGAGCAAGATAGAGCTTCAGAAGCAGTTAATAATTTCAGGAAGAGAAAAGACAGGAGCAGGCAGCAGAGTGTTAGCAGAGATAGTGGCAGCAGAAGCACAAAGCAGTGGCAGTTACCTTCTCTGCAGTGGCAGCTGTGACAACAGCCACAGCAAACATAGACAGTTGGAAAGTTCTCCAACCAGAGAACATCGAAGGCAGACCCCAAATAAATGGCAGAAGTAAAGAGAAGTTGAGAAAGATGAGGGAACCAAGGCTCGAGGACAGAGTATTCTGAACAGCCAGAAAAGTAAAATGTAGTCACTGGAATCATGCCCGAGACATTTGGCAAGCCTGGAAGACCAAAGCTCTCAGATACTTTGGAACCAGGAATTGTATCACTAGTCGCTGTCAAAAGCTTTGGAATCTGAACATCTTTGGGCTGCACTGGGCTCCAACATTTGCCACCTTAAGGAAAACATCCTAGTAGCTGTGTCCTGCAGGAACATTGGGAAACTAGTGTCAGTCACCACTACTCTGGTTATCTGCCTCTGCTACTGCCAGAAGTCAAGGCTCACAACTGACCAAGCACAGGAAAACCTCTTTGTGAGAACAAAAGGCCATGGTAGGACAAATAGGAGCTAAGGCATCTGAAAATTGTTTCTATTCTTCTACCTAGTACAACATAAAAGCTAGAGTTTTGATTAGTTTTGTTTCCTATTGTAATACAAGGTTTGGCCAAAACTGTATAATTCAGCATTCAACCAACAACCCATTTTACATTATAACATCTCATATTGATGTAACAATAAAATTAAAACATGTTTGTAGTGATAGCAAATTAATTTTCATGTCTTTGTTGAGGAATACAAATATTACTATTTCAAACTTTCAAAAATATCTAGATAAGTCACATGGTCTGAGTTCTCTGAACTCAATAGTTTGTCATTTATATATTTAAAGTTTTCAACCTTGAATATCATTGGCAATGAGAGTAAGATAACAGAAAAATGTTTAGCTTCTTGGTTTTGTGTTCTGAAGACACTTCTTTGTCAATTGCATCTTCTGGCTGTTGTAAAAAACAGCCTATGTCTGTTAAAATATAAATATGGCCATGTGTGCCTGTGTGAGAGTGTGTGTGCCTATGTGAGAGAGAGAGTGTGTGTGTGTGACACTCACACTCACACACACACACACACACACACACACACACGCACACACACACACACACACACACAAGCAGGCACGTGCATGTAGGCCATAAGCTGGCATCAAGTATTTTTTCTTTACCATATTTTTTAAGATAGAGGCTCTAGTTGAATCTGGAGCTTACTGGTCAGGCTAGCCTGGCTAGTATAAGTTCCAGGAGTTGTGTCTTCCCACTCCCAGCACCAGAACCATGGGTGCTTGTTGCTTCCCTGGGCTTGACGATAGGTGCTGGGTTCTGAATTCAGAGCTCATAATTACTTGGCTAGAGTCTTATTGGCTGAGCCTATAGACATCCTAAGCTGATTTTCATTACCTCTGTTGCTAAGTCCACAGAGAATGCCTTTCCTGAGCTCCACAGCATCACAATCATGGCTAGGATGAAGTATGTGCTTGCCAATCTCCGGTCCAGCATCTAGGCCCAAATACATCAGAGCTGATATTAATTACTTTGAAATATAAAGACAGAAAACAAAGCTAAGAAAAGACTGTTAAAAGTGAAGCCATTCACTTCTACGTGCTGCAATGCATGTCTACCAACCTACAGTGCCTAATAAAATCTGTCAGTCTCCTGTAATGCATTCTCTAAAGGATTAATTTCCATGAAAACATGCAGCATATTTATATAACTGTAATAACAATGTAATTTAAGCTAACCAAATATAAATATCATGTATCTTTATTTTGGGGGTAGTAGAGAGATTACGACTTCATGTTGACAAATGTGAGAGAATAAAGCATTGCGTCTCTGAACCAGAATATACAGTGTGCCTGGAAGCATTTACATTTAAAAATTTTAAAACTCTATAATTCAATAAGATAATATCTGTATGTTCTTGTGTTTTATGATGATTATTTAAGCAAGATTAAAAAGATGAATATGTTATTTAAAAGGCATCAAAATTAATATTCTATAATTTAAAAATTCTATATGGTGCAATTCAACAAAATCAACACAACAAAATCGTGAGACAAATTGTAATACAGGAGACATTTTCAACATGTATAAAGAAGAAAATGCTACTAACTGGAACACATAAGTGTGGTTGTAAAATATATACATGGCATAAAACTCTCTACATAATTCTAAATAGTCAAGGCAATTCTGTATATTGGGATCTCTGTGTCTGTCTGTCTGTCTGTCTCTCTCTGTCTCTCTGTCTCTGTCTCTGTCTCTGTCTCTGTCTCTCTCTCTGTCTCTCTCTCTCTCACACACACACACACATATATATAGAACTTGATTCTTGATTTCTTGATTGTGGGGATTATGGTTGTCTGTGAGGAAGGAGGAAAAAATGAATAAGATTTGGAAGAAACATAAGGAAATTATTTTTTAGAAAGCAAACACACATGAATATACTGTATTTGCTAATTCTGAGTAGTAAGCATGAAAACATCACTGAAAAAATTCAGAGCTTTTACATTAAAAGCACTATGCTACTAAACATGACTCATCCCCGATTCCATTAGGTTTGCTTCCTATGGATTTGCTATGGCCATCTTATTATACTGCATAGTGACGAAAGGGGGCATTGCTCACTGAGGGAAGACCACAAGCTTGTATGCTGATTTCTTTATAAACTATCTCTCAGAACATATTCTGGGACAAAGAGAAAGGGACTTTGAGTTTTTAAGAATTGGTTTTGAATCTCACTTTGCTTTAGTATTGCTGTGACTTTGAACAGGGATAGTTAACTCTCTTGAGCTTTAGTTTTCGTATATATGAGGTGAGAAGTAATTCCCACATCAAAAGAGTTCCTGGAAGAAGGAATTAATTCACCCATAATGCCTATCCCTCATACACTGTTTATTATTTGCACATAGAGTAAAATCTAGGTGACATTATTCAACATTCCCTTAGCAACTGCATATGCCATCATTTGTCCCCCAACTTTATACTTCCTTATTATTGCTGTGAAACTTAACTGTAGATCTTAGTAATTTGTGTTATATGCTACAACAAAAATAATGTTTTGCATACATAGAGTAACATCTCTATTATGTGTGTTGGTTAAGATTTAAAATGGAAAAAAATATCGTCACCATATCTACAACATTTGTTTTATCAACTGTAATAAAATTTAGCTTAAACCATCTGTTCCTTATGATATGAATTACTCTCTTTTTGAGTCTTGTTACTAATACCAGCCACTAGTTCCTTGTCTATATTCTACCATCTCTTAAAAAGGAACAGTAAATTGTGTGTTCTTTGTTAAATTGGTATTGAGGTTTTCAATGAGTATTGAAAAATGATAAAAGAAATTATATTTCCAAATTCATCAAAGGTACAATTTGAGAGGACACAGTAGTGATCATTTGATTAAAATATCAACAAAAACCATATTAGCTTTTCCTTTAGAAAACCAGACATACTTTGTTCATATTTTCTACTGATTTTGCTGTTGTTTCTTTTATGTTCATCTATACACAGCAAGACATTTTAAAAGCATAGATGAATTTAAAAATAATCTTAAAATATTTCTTACATACCTACTTTTAAAGTAACACTCTCATTTAATCAAAGGTAAATTACAATTGTGTTGCTCACCTTCATTTGTTTTTATTATGCTAAAAATAGTTTTCAATGTGCCAAATTGCCCTGTTTTACAAGTCTCTCCATGTGTATTTTCTTTAACTATTTTTACAAACTTTTTACTTACCAATGTTCCCTTCATGCCCACAGTCTTGTAAATGTAACAGAATGATGGTGTTTGTAATACTGATGATTACATCTGACACATGTATTTTGGAGCTTGGGTGTACATAGAAAAAACAGTTTTAATGTATCCTCTAACAGATAACCACATCCCCATCATTTGGATAGGGAGGTGTAAAAATAAACGCTGAGTTTAAATACATGTATTTAATGTTTTAAAGCCATGCTTGTACCCAATAAACCAACAGGCCAAGTTTCCAAATATGGCACTTTGTACACTAATATAAACAAGCACTCTGGCACCTGCCAAACAAGGGACATTTGATTAACTCATTGAAACTCGATTGCTACAAAATTAGAAACAGAGGAAATTACAGGGAGGAAAGGAAAAGATCAGGTTTAGCCCCGTTTCTCCATTTTGTTGATTGTGAATAAATATAGCTCATGATTTAAAAATTCCCCTAGGACCCATTTGCTTGCCAAATCACAGAGGGAACCCTCAAAGAACCTTTTTTTACTATACAAATTCCACCAAAGCAGAAGTGTTTGCACATTAAAAAAAAAAAAAAAACTAACACATTAACTTTTTTTCTTTCTTTTCTTTAAAGCTATGTAGCCATGGTAAACAATTCTTCAGCTCTAGTCTCCCAAGTGCAGGATTATGAGTCTTTAGCATGCTAGACTCTTTCTTTTAACTGAGTAGCTTTTGAGTTAATATTCCTTGGAGTAATAAAGAATTCCAAAACAGACAGAGGGCATGAAATCTTCCTCCTAGGATTTTGTCGATATTTTATTTGCAATCATTTGGGCTATTACATTGTATATGCTACATTTTAGTACTCCTATATACTATTTATTATAATAAAACATTATAACATTATGGACTCCATATATTTTATGTTATATATTGCGATTGGACTATTTAATACATCTGGATGCATAAATGTTTTACTTTGTAAAATATCTGAAGCTGTATTTTAGACTTTCCACATGTGACATTTTCTTACATCTGGAAAAGACCCTGCAACCCAAGGCTGGAGTAGTGGAGCATATGTTGATCAATGTGGAGAGATACGAGGCGTTGTCATGTACACTGGAGAAACAATAGATGTTACTCATGTTTTAAAACACAACGAACTGAAGAAGCACAGCAGTGTAGAACTTGTCTAATTTTGTTTGAACCCAGTAAGAGACAATTGACTGTGAAGAAATGTGTTCCATTTTATGAGTCAGTAAACAAAGGAATCAGCAAGTAGAAGGATAGGAAGCAAAAAGGAGGGTAACGGGGTGGGGGTCAGTTCATCATCTTCAATGTTATATGGATTTGTCATAATGAGACATTCTGTAAAATAGAGTGGCCAAAGGGGAAGCACAAGGCTAAGATGGCTGATTGGATGCACTTCTGAACTAGTAAGACCTAAAATATCAGTGCTTGAGGGCTTGTGTTGAATTTAATTGTCAGGTGATTAAAGTTCTCTTCAGTTTGAAACTTAATAACAATCAACTAACTTTTGGTTAGTTGACCTAAACATTAGAAATCCAGAATGGTACTAATTTTGTCGGTGAATTTTAGTAACACCTGGAAATTTTAATTTTCTCTCAAAACTAGATTGGAAACACTTAAGTCAGAATCTACCAACCCTCATTTTCAACAACAACAACAACAAAAAAAACAATTAAAAATTGAACAAAATCAATTAAAGATAGAGGATTTATTAACTGGTTCAATTTCTACCTTTCCCTAACCTCTTTCCACTGTGACAGACTGCAAGCAGTTGCAAGGCTTAGCATTTGGGCAATAAACACCAGTTCTGACCCTGTGTAATGGCCAGTTATGCCTTCCAACTCAACTTCTATGGCTTCCCTCATCTGAAAATGAGCAGAAGCTCCTCAAGCAAAATGTGAGTGAGCACCACCCTAGCTAAACCCTAAAGTCAAGGAAACATTTTTGTTCCTCCGCCTCCCCCTCCCCCTCCCCTTTGCTCCATGCCACAGTCACATGGGCCCTCTTCCTAGTAGAGAAGAATCCAGGAGCAGAACAGAGCAAGTGACAGCCGCTCTTCATTCAGAAAGTGATACCAACATGGCCAGCGATTAACATAAAGTCTGGGGTTCATCGGAACAGCTAGAGGGGATGCTGGAGTCGTGGACATCAGTCTCCCTTGAGGCTCTGCTGCCACCTAACAATGTGGCTTTGGGCAAATCTTTCCATCACTATATCAAGGGAAATGGATTTGGCTAACTGACTTCTGATGTTGTTTACTCTGTTTTTTCCTTGTTCTTATCACTTCTTTTTTATTTAGAAACAATCATTTTACCTATCAATCCCCTGTTCTCTCTCCCTCCCATCCTCCCATGCCCCTACCAACCCCTCACCCCCTACCCGGTCCCCAAGGACTGTGAGGCCTTCCATGGGGATCATAAAAGTCTATCATAACATTTGGGTGAGGGACTAGACCGTGTATCTGGGCTGAAATAGTATCCCTCCACAGGGAATAGACTGGCAAATTCCATTTGTGCACTAGGGATAAATACTGGTTCCATTGTTAGAGGTTCATAGACAGCCCAGGCCTCCTAACTGGCATCTGCATTCAGAGGGTTTGTTTCAGTCCAATGCTGATTCCCAGCTTTATGACTCTCACTAGGTCAGGTCAGCTGGTTCTGTAGGTTTCTCCAGCATGGTCTTGACTCCTTTTCTCATCCCTCCTCCCTCTCTACAGCTGGATTGAAGGAGTATGGCTCAGTGCTTAGCTGTGAAA